AAAAATTTATTAAATCTTTGCTGTGTTCTGATGTTAAAATGATGCCACTATTGTTGTTGTTTAGATGATTTAAAAAAGTTTAAGTGAGGTTTCAGGACCTTTCCAGATAAAAAACAAATCGTCTATGTATCTAAAATAGGATACTAGGTTTGCTTTCCAGGGGTGATCTCCCCAGATTGCTTTAGACTCCCAATTGTCCATAAAAAGATTGGCATAACTTGGTGCAAACCTAGTACCCATAGCTGTGCCTTGTCTTTGAATGTAAAAAGTGTCTAAAAACCAAAAATAGTTATTTGTTAAAATCATTTTTATCCCTTCTAAGATAAAATTAATTTGTTTTTCTGGAATTTTATTATCCGTTTTTAATCTATTTAAAACTGCTTCACACCATAATTCGTGGGGGATTATGGTGTACAAAGACTGGACATCACAAGTGACTAGAATAAAATCTGGATGCCAGGTAAAATGTTCTAAAAAACGTAAGAGAGACATGGAATCTTTTAAGTATGACCTCATAAGTCTGACTGATGGTTGTAATAAAATGTCAATATACTCTGATAAGTTTGATAAAACAGAATTGATCCCGGAGACAATAGGTCTACCTGGTGGATTGGTCTCATTCTTGTGTATCTTTGGTAAAAAGTATATGACTGGAATTTTTGGATGAGGAATATTTAAATAAGCAAATTCTTTTTTGTTGAGGATATTGGAATTTAAGCCTTTGGTTAAAAATGATATAAGGGAGTTTTGGATGGTATGGGTTGGGTCTGATAGTAGCTTGTCATATACTTTGGGGTCATTAAGCTGTCTAAATGCTTCTTTGATGTACATTTCTTGTGAGAGTATAACTAGGCCGCCCCCTTTATTGGCTGGTTTGATGACTATTGTGTCATCTTTTTTAAGATCTGTGAGAGCTTTCCTTTCTTGGAAGGTTAAGTTATATTGGTTATATTTATGATATTTGTGGTTGTTTTTTTTGGAGGTATTAATTTTTTCTAAGTCTTGCTTTACCAAATTCTCAAAAACTTCTATTGGGCCAGATTTGAAACTTGATGGGTAAAAATTAGAGTTATTCTTAAGGGTGGTGTTTTTCACTGGTATCTCGTCATTAATACATGGAGGTGTGGGGGAATAGTTGGTCTGTCCCTGGTTAATAGATTGATTCTCAATTCTGCTGCTAAAAAATCTTTTAAGTGTAGCTTTCCTAACAAACTTATTTAAATCTAAAAAGGCTTGGAATGGTTGATAGGGATTGGTAGGTGCAAATTTGAGGCCCTTAGTTAAAACCGATATTTGGGTAGTAGTTAAAATTTTATGGGAAAGGTTAAAAATTCCATGGGGGTTGTCTGTATTAGTTAGTGTCTCTCTAGTCTTTCTCTTTTGAAATCTTCTGCCACTTCTCCTTCCTCTAGGCTTAGATTTCTCTTTTTTGTTCTGGGTAGGTAAGGTGTGGCAGTAAGTGGATTTGGGCCTAGTTCTAAAAAATGATCCTCAGTGTCTGTGTCCAAATCTGTAGATAACACTTGGTATCTGTTAGGATGGTGTGTGGAGGGTAGGTGAGGGGTGTGCTGGGATGGGTGTGTTTGAATGTATGTCTGAATCTTTGAGGTCTGGGTGTGAGATCAGGTCTTTGTGGGATAGTCATGAGTGGGACAGGTTTGGTGGGCCTGGGTTTAGGATAGTTGGAATAGGAAGGTGAAATGGTTGGGGGTGAGATGTGGTGGGAAGAGCTGTGATACTTTTGTGGTGGTGGTTGGTGGTTGTTGTGGTGCCTTTGGTGGTAGGGGACGTGAGGTGGTTGTCTGTGATGGATGTAGCGTGGGTGGGGTCTGCTGGGGTAATGTGTAGGCGCATGAGGAGGATAATCTGAATAATAGGAGTGATGGCGAGTGTGGGAGACAATAGGTCTTCTGGGATCTTGTTGGTTAGGGATGGTGGAGGGGTGATTGAAGGTCTGAGATGTGTATTTGGACTTATTGTTGAGGTGGTAAGTCCTTACTTGGTTCTTTGTGTAGTCATGTTTATCTCGGCTTTATTTTTTTACTTTAATGTGTTTAGTGTCCATCTCTACTTTTTCTATTTTGTTTTGAATGATAATAGAATTTTGTTTGAATACTTGTGTCTCTGTGAATGGTAAAAGTTTGTCCTGAAGTTTTTTTATTTCAGCGTCTAATAATGATAATTTTTTACTCTTTTTTAGAATTAAAGTTTCCATAAGACCGAAAGTGCATGACTCGAGCTTGTTGTTCCACTCTTGCATGAACTCATAGTCATCTTGGTCAGAGGTTGGGAGTTTGAAAAATCTAAGGCCTCTGGGGGTTATTTGTTCTTCTATATATTTTTTTAGAGTGGCTATCTCCCATTTGAGTTTTATCTCAGATGTTAAAACTTTTTCGAGTGATATAAATAATTCCTGTTGATTATATGTCTCTATTATAGTGGGAGTGGGTAGTATATCTTCAGTATTAAAAACATTGTTAATGTCAATAATGTGGTTGTTCCTAAAATCAAATATGGACATGGTGCAGGGATAGTATAGAGGGCAGCTCTCTCCAGAGGGATTGTAGGAGTATAGAACAGAAGAAAGGGATCAGCGCTCTCTATCTATACAAAATACAACAGAAACAATAATAAATAAGTAAAAAGTGGCAGCACACCTAAAAAGTAGGGCTCCCTCACAGGCCTTACAACAGAAATGGTACAGAAAAAAGAAAGGAAGGCAGCGCCACTATAAACCACATAAATTAAAAGAGCACAGAATAGGCAGACTAGAATACAATATATATGATAGATACTAAGCAAAATAGAAGTCCAGAATAAATAGTCTGACTGGTAGATGAATCAAACAACGAGGTATATCCTTGTAGAGGTGAATACAGTCTTTTGTAGTGGGGGATTCTTCAGAGTGGTGTAGATGCGTCTTTGTACATCATATGAAATGAGAAAATAACAACTGATGGTATAGTATGTCCCGAAAGGGGTAGAAGCAATAAAAGAGTATATGGTCCTACTCACGTTTTCAAGAGCTATGGACTTAGCTCTAGTGTTGATAACGTACAGTGGTATAATCCCCACTTATGGGATACGTGAGGTCTTAGTATTCTTTCTTGATTAGGGGACCATATGTGGAAATAAAAGCAGGAACAACAATGGTGCTCAAAGTATAAAATGCCAGAGGTGAGAAGATAAAAAACCAAGTGGTTACTCACATTTAGTTGAACAGACTGACTGTTCAATGAATACAGCTTGAGTGGTATAATCCCCACCTAGGATTCTTGGGAGTAATATCCTCACTGGAAAGTAAAAACACTTCTGTGCCGGATAAAAGGATGGTAGTAATAAAAAAGTAAAATAATAATAGTAATAAAAAGTAAGATGGCTAACTCACAGTAAGAAAGTGGCCAAAATACCTTTATTTAAAACAATATAGTTTAAAAAACCACAACGCGTTTCGCCCTTAGGCTTTATCAAGTGGAGATCAGAAAGTACATCCTGTTACATACAGGTTTATATAGGCAGTGAACATATTAGAAAATGGCGCCAAAATGATGTCATAATTTTTTTTTTTTTTTTTTTTTTTTTAAAGTGCTAAATTTTATATGTGTAAGTGAGTACATACCTATATGTAAAACATGTGATAGTTTAAAATTAAAAACGAGGTTTTAAACTCACAATACCTTACATATTCTATTTAGATACAACAGTCACATGATCGGTGGCCATTTTTTTTTTTTTTTAAAGTGCTAAACTTGATATGTATCAGTGAATACAAACCTATATTGGAGACATGTGATAGTCTAAAATTTAAATTAAAAACAAGGTTTTATACTCACAAGATACCACTCACCCGCCTGCCGCCACCACCAAAACTAGCACCACAGCCACTTCAGTTGGTATGTCAGAGGAGTTATTCACACATCCGTTTGAAGAAATGAGTGATGCGCAACCATTATTGACAGAGGATGTAGATAACAGGGATATGTCTCAGGCAGGCAGCATTACACACATGGACGTACGGTGTGATGATGATGATGATGTTGTACCCGCTGCTGCTTCCTTTGCTGAGTTGTCAGATACAAGTGAAGCGGTTGATGATGACGATGCGTCCATGGATGTCACGTGGGTGCCCGCTCGTCAAGAAGAAGAACAGGGCGAAAGTTCAGATGGGGAGACAGGGAGGAGGAGGAGACGAGTTGGAAGCAGGGGGGAGGTCGTCGCAAGGAGCTAGTGGCACAGTCAGACAGCATGCATCGACACCCGGGGTCAGCCCGACAGCACGCCAATCAACGCATGCTGTGTCCACCACCAGAATGCCGTCATTGCAGAGCTCAGCAGTGTGGAATTTGTTTTGTGTGTCTGCCTCTGACAACAGCGATGCCATTTGCAACCTGTGCCAAAAGAAACTGAGTCGTGGGAAGTCCAACACCCACCTAGGTACAACTGCTTTGCGTAGGCACATGATCTCACATCACAAGACGCCTATGGGATCAACACATGAGTACAAGCAGCTCGCCTACTCTAAGCCGCCAGCCTCCTCCTGGTCCAGCATCTTCAGCCACGTCAACCACTGCTGTCCTCCTTGTCCCCTCTCAACCATCCGCCACT